GGGCTGCTCTCCTCACTGCTCTCAGGTAAAACAGGGCTGGACTCTGCAGCTCTGAGCTCACGGGCTGCTCTCCTCACTGCCCTCAGGTAAGGCTGGGCTGGACTCTGCAGCTCTGAGCTCACGGGCTGAAATCCTCACTGCTCTCAGGTAAGGCTGTGCCACCAGGGCACTGCCAGCCTTGGTTTGGCAGGGAGGAGCTGGGAAGGGAAGGATCCAGTGCTGAGGARATGAAGTGCAATAACCCATGAGGAGATTCCGCTGTCATTTACAGCAGTGTGAGGCAGGGCTGGAAATCAGGCACTGGCTGGGGGCTCCACAGCAGCACTGAGGGGCTGCAGCAGTGTGGGGGCTGGTGAAGGGGAACAGCAGCAGCAGTGCTTCCAAATCTGGAGAGAGGGCTTGGTTTGTGTGTGCTGCCACATCTGTCACACAGCAGTGTGTGAAGSCAATATCCCTTCAGCTGCCTCCCTCAGGGACAGGAGCAAGGCTGTAGGCATTTCTGGGGTGCACAGGGCAGTAAATCCTTTCCCAACAGGATGGTTTTCTTCTTGCTAGAAGCACTGTTCTCTTGACTATATTCTGGGTTTAAATGAGGTATATGAATTTAGAAGAATAGTATTTATTATCTGTAAGAGTATAGGAACGAAAGAGACTTCCTGAGGTATTTCAACCCTTCTGCTACCACAAGCAATAGATCTTAAAATCCCGAGATCTTAAACACATAGAAATCCTCAGATTTTTATCAAGCTCAGCCATAAGTCAAGCAGTACTCCTGGCTTTATGACATTTATTGGAAGGTCATCTCAAATCCACCTCCTTTGATGAAAATGAGCTCTTCTTTAGCTTTCAGCAGAAGTTCATAGCCAGGTCGGGATTTGTTCTTGAATGTTATTCTCACTTAGAGCAGCCTCAACGCTTGCCCACTGATCTGTTTTTCAGTTAAAACCTTTAATCTTTTATTTGCATATTTACATGTTGTTACTAGAATGATCTGACTTAAACCCAGCTGCCAAGGCTCATTTCCCCCTCTTACCAAATTTCTTCCCACTGCTTGCAGGAAGAACTTGAGCGAGCTGGATGAGGTTCAAAGATACTTCAGCCAGAAGCTGACCAGGTCTTTTCCTGACTTCATCACATCCCAACCAGGCCATGAGGAGTGGGAGAGTGACCATCAGGGCTCGATGAGCAGAGAAATGGATCCCAAAGGCTGCCATCTTCTGGAAAAATCTAGTCAGTTGGTGTCTCAGGTCAGCAGCCTAATCAATGGTGAGTGGCTGCTGTGAGTAGCAAAATGACAAGGAAATCAAATCCCTGTTGAAGCTTTTGCAATAACTTACCAGAGCAGAGAATAAACTGGAGCCCAGAGCTGCAATTGCTGCCAGTTGCAAAGTTATTCCATGCTTTTTGTGCCCATGGCTTCTTACAGGGAAGCAGCATTTCTAAGAAATGGAGCAGAAGGGCAGATCCCTCTTATGCCAGAATTTGCCATCCTTGTATCACCACCTTGATCTTCTCTTTTCCCCCCACTCTTTATTCTCTAAGGCTTTGCTCTTTTTATTTCCTTTCTCATCCTTAGCAATTGTTTTTACTGCTTTTTTACATGCCTTCCTCTACAATGTGTTTCAGACTCTTCCTTTTCCTTTTCCAAATGTCCCCCACCATTCCCTTGGAGAAGGACTTGCCTCAGAATAGTTTGCCATTTTACCTAATGCAGGTGAACTCAATTCTTTGAGTCCAGAAATTGTTTTGAGTTCTGAAATGGATTCCTTTTAACTGTTGCTCTATGCATTCACTGATGCTGTTTTTTGTGGTTTTTTTATAGACTTGCAGACTATAACTAAACACAGCAAAGCAGCCTGTAGTGGATCTCCAGACAGCAGCAGGCAGCTGGGTGCTGGGGATGTGCCCTGCTGGAAGGAGGAGGGAGCCACTCCTGCAGTTCCTGGAGTCCACCTGGGGTCAGACTCACCCGGCATTTGCAGGGACACGCAGCAGCCGGGCACTGCTGGCAGATCTGTGTTCCACAGACACATGCTGCACAAACTCCTAGACCCCCTTATCCCTGAGGATGAGCACACAGTGGGTTCTGTCCAGGAAAACGAAGGTGCTTTTGCCATCCAGCCACACAGCGAAGAAGAATACGAAGAGGATGTTATAGAACCACGAACTCTTAATGAAATAACGACCATAACRGACAGGACCAGCCCCTGGTCCAGTGTGATCTCTGAAACAGGGCCAGGCACTGAGCAGCATCCTCTGGAGCCCAGTGAAGATCAGCACTCCATCAATGTGGGATGTTTCCAAAAAGGGAACAGCAGTGCCTTGTCCAGCATCCTGCACGGGGACAGCCAGAGCGTGTTCAGCACCCTGAGCCCACCCCTGAGCCCCCACAGAGCTGGGAACAGCCCCTGGGGAGCAGCAGGAGATTGCAAACCCTTCAACAGCAGCTGGGGAATGGCAGAGAAGGAGCCAGTGCAGCCCTGTGGCCGGAGCCTGTGGGACAGAGCACCGAGCACTGAACCCGGGCAGAGGAGCACAGGGCTCCRTGGAGGCTCCAAGGAACCATTGCCAGGAGATGGGGGTTTGAGCAGTGCAAAAACCACCGAGAGACAGGAGCAGGGAGGTGCTGAGGCTGCAAATGAAGATGAAGGCAAGGAAGGAAGTGGCTCTGATGAGAACTGTGCTCAGAGTGTATCAGCCCAGGCTGGCTCCGAAAGGAGCAGTGAGAGCTCTCCTGATGACAGCAGTGAGGAGCCACAGGAAGGGTCAGAAAACCCCATCRAACCAAAAACCACTTTGTATCCTTTACTCTTTTCCTAAACACTCTTTGCATTCAGTGACTCTCCCTGCTTAGATAGAATRTCCCTGGCCTCAGGAAAGAGAAATTTGCTATGTGGATTTCTTCCCTGGGAAATGAATCTGGAGCTGGTGTTCTGGGATGGTGCTGGAGGACCCCATTACACCGTTTCACACAAAGCAGTGATGACTTTCTTGCCACTTGTAGCCAATACMTTTTGTGATTTGTGAAAGTCACTTTGTTTTGGGCAGTTCTGACTTGTCTTCTTGCAGTTTCTCTCTATGTTGTTTTACCCCATGTGTTAGAGCCCTTGTGTTTCTCCTGTATTAATGAAGCATGTTTTATTTTGCTTTTAAAATACTTCCCAATGTTTCTTACACAAATTCCAGACCTCGAATTAAGTGTCAGAATTTTTGCAGGATGAAGTCCCCCACAAATTTGTGAGGTGTTGTTTGAAAGYAAGTTGGTGTCCCATGCTCTGCAAGCCCAGGTGAGAGAACCAAGTGTTCAGARCAATGCCATATTGATTAAATGAAATTACATTAAAACTAATGTCCCAAACAAATCTGGGACCTGTTAACAGATCAGCTTTTGCCACATCTGCAGCTGCCAAGGGTTGTTCCTTAACAGCTCTGCTCAGATCTGATCCCGTTGTTGTTCCCAACTTCTTCCTTCCACCCCAGGAGATGGAAGCTTCCATGAGACTGCTCAGCAGCTCTTCTCACCCTTCCACATCTCCAAAAGTAAGTACAGGATGTCCTTTGTTTTATTGTCCAGCTTAGTCCGTTCCTTAAAGCAGGAATTCCTTAGAACTTCTCCCTTCCTTTGCCTGCCAGAGCTCACCCTGGAGGTGATGGTTTCCACGTCAAGGGGAATCTTCCTGCCAGCTCTCCTCTCTGTGAGGATGGTTTTTAACGTCCATGGCTGTGTTGTCTGTGATCCTCACACCTTTTTACCGAGCAGTTGTTCATTACACTCAGGCAATGTTATTCCATCAGGGTCAGTGGGAGCAGCAGGCTCTCCTCCACACTTTCTGTGCTTTAATGTCGTGTGACATGCCTCGTTCTGAGCAGCTCTAACTTTAATTRTGGCCTCGGTTTCTCTCTTTAGACCAGGGTGAAATGAGGGAGTTTGCAGCAGGAGGGGTCCTGGGGAGGGATCTTGTAAAAGTTCTGTGACCCAGGGAGCAGTGGAATAACTGAGTGATGGCTCCTCCTGCACCAAAGCTGGGCATTGCTGAATGCAATGCCCAGTAAATTGCCATTTACTTTTCTTGTGTGCATGAAGGTTTCTTTATTGCAAGAGGTTAGTTGTTTTCAAGGTATTTATCAAACTGGCTCAGTTGTTTTCAAGGTATTTATCTTCTTTTCACTTCATAAAGAGGGGTTATGAAAAAGAAGGAGAGTGACTTTTTACATGGGCAGATAGTGATGGGACGAGGGGGAACAGTTTTAAACTAGAAGAGGGGAGATTTAGATTGGATATTAGGAAGAAATTCTGCCCTGTGAGGGTGGGGAGGCCCTGGTGCTGGGTGCCCAGAGAAGCTGTGGCTGCTCCTGGATYYCTGGAAATGTTCCWGGGCAGGGCTTGGAGCACCCTGGGACAGTGGAAGGTGTCCCTGCTGAGCTGAGTGGCTGGAAATACAGCCCTGGGAATTATTAATAATTAGGAAGACTGTTAGCAAGACACTCTTTGGATRTTTTGATCCTAAACCAGCTTCATTCCAGGATTAGCTGGCACTAATCCTTCGCTGCAGTGCTTGTAGGCCATGCCAAGGCAGGTTTACGTCGTGTCTTGTGCATCAAACGCCCTCTGTGAAAAACTTCTGTTTGAGGTTTTTCACTACTGCCAATGCATCGAGCTCAGAAAATGCTTCCTCCTGGTTTTGGTTTTGATTGTCCCTTGGAACAYTGGTTTCTAAAGCTGGGCTGAGTTTGGTTCTGCACAGGTCAGCAGACACCAGCATGACAGCAAGGCTGAAATTGGAGCTGTTCTCTGGATGTCACCAGAGCCCTCAGTCACTTGGCAATTGCAAACTCACTCCTGGTGCTCCTCCTGCTCTGCCTGGCTTGTCTGCCCCTGCTATGGCCAGGCAGTGCTGAGGTGTGCAGTGGGCAGCATTGGAGGCAGAAAGGTTAGCTCAGCTCCTGCAGGGAGGACTTGGGGCCCTGAGGAGGAGCTGCAGCAGCTCAGGCTCAGYGTGGATGCTTCACCTTCCAGGGATCAGCATTTTGCAGAGCCTCACGAATCCTCCTTGGTTTTTGCTCCTTTTCTCCATTACATCAAACTAAGGCTTCCCATTCTTGAGGTCCTTCCCAACTCTTGTCTTCCACACTGCTCACCTGCTCTGAGCAGGGATTAGAGGGCAGGTTTGAATAATCAGAGCATTGATAAACTTTTCCATARAATCCCAGAATCCCAGAATGGTTTGGGTGGTAAAGAACCTCAGAGATCCTCTTGTTCCACTCCCTGCCATGGGCAGGGACACGTCCCACTGTCCCAGGCTGCTCCCAGCCCCAGTGTCCAGCCTGGCCTTGGGCACTGCCAGGGATCACAGCCACAGCTGCTCTGGGCACCCTGTTCCCACCCTCCCAGGGAACAATTTCTTCCAAATATCCCACCTAACCTGCCCTCTGGCAGTGGGAAGCCATTCCCCCTTGTCCTGGCACTCCAGGCCCTTAGCTAAAGTCCCTCTCCAAATACTGTGGTATTTTTTTCCCCTTCACCTCCAGGAATATTCCAAAAAGATAAGAAACTTACGTGGAAACCAGTTTTACTCAGAATAATTCCTATTTGTATATGCATAGATTTACCTACAGTGTGAATTAGAAATAGCACAGCCTTGGGCAGACTCACAATTACAAGTTTTATATGTTCCAAATATGCCAATGGCAGCCACAACCAAACCATCCTTTCTTGGTCGTGTTGTTCCTTGTTGACCTGCTGGATCTTGCTGTTTTCCTGCCTGGAAATCGGGAGTGGGTGCCAGGCCACTGCCAGGGGAGTGCAAACAAGAACTCTCATGGGAATACTTGGTGTAAGGTGCTTCCAAAACAAGAGTGTTGCAGTCTGTTCACACAGATCTGTTTGTCCCCCATCCCTGTGCACAAACAAAACCTCAGCAAACTGAGCCACAGTGCTGAAACATCCTCTGCCTCCAGGAGTGGAACTGTTTGACCTTGGAAGAGGCCATGACCTAAAAAATGCCCATGAATCTGCTTTAGTGCAGCCCCTGGCACCCAGGCACTGGATAATCCTCGCCTGGTTTCAGTGTCACTGCCATTCCTATAAAAAGAAAAGTGAAGCGTGATCCTGGGTGCACGAGTCCCCTTTCCTCTTGCATCTTCCCCGTGGAACGTGTGCTTCCTGGCTGAGCACCAGACACTTGGAGTTTGAGACAGAGAGGGAGAAACCTGGGCTGGGCATGAGCTGAGCCTGTTCCTGGAGCGGGAACGCTGTAAACACGACATTTCAGACCTGTGCTCTGGAAACTATGCAGGAGGATAAACCTGAGTCAGAAACTGCCTGTGAGATGGGTCAGAGGGCAGCTTTGATGTGCAAAAAGGAGCAATGGAGCTGGGGAAGGGCTGGAGCAACTGAGGGAGCTGGGAAGGGGCTGAGCCTGGAGCAAAGGAGGATCAGGGGGGATTTGTGGCTCTGCACAACTCCTGACAGGAGGGGACAGCCGGGGGGATTTGGGATCTGATCCGAGGAACGGGGACAGGAGGAGAGGGAACGGCTCAGGCTGGGCCAGGGGAAGTTTAGGTTGGATATTGGGAAAATTTCTTCCCCCAAAGGGCTGTCCAGCCCTGGAGCAGTCCCTGTCCCTGGAGGGATTTAAAGCTGTGTGATTGTTGTACTTGGGGACATGGGATAATGGTGACCCTGGCAGTGCTGCRGGAACAGCTGGACTCCATGGCTTACGTGTCTTCTCCATCCTCAATAATTTCCATGATTCTGTGATTCTGGTCATCTGTCTGAGCTGGGAGTGTTAACAGTGCTKTTAAACCCCATTTGGATTCACACATGTTCATGTGAAATAGCAGCAAGAGCTGCTGTTAAACCTTTCCCACAGCTGGAAGTTCATTTTTAGGAAGATTGTTAGGATGGATACGTCTTAACACCACTTCATCCTGCACATKGGACAGTGGGAGGAGAATGGAAGGAGGTTTATTTGTCTTTGAAACAACATGCCAGTGGCGTGTTTTCCAAGCGTGTTTCCACCTGGTTTCGTGACTTGGGGAGCAAACAAACTGCTCTTGTGTTATGGCATCGGGGTACAGRGCACTTTAGGGGGATTAGATGTTGGGAGGAATTCCTGACTGTGAGAGTGGGATGGTCCTGGCACAGGGTGCCCAGAGCAACTGTGGATCCCCTGAATCCCTGGCAGTGCCCGAGGCCAGGCTGGACATTGGGGCACHCTGGGACAGTGGGAGGGGTCCCTGCCCAGGTCAGGGGGTGGAATGGGATGGGCTCTAAGGTCCCTTCCCACCCAACCCATTGYTGGGCTCTGTTCCTTACACTGAAAATGGGAGGTGCTGGCTCTCCATCCCTGGCTGTGCAGGACATGTGGCACATGGGAAAGGGGAGCTGGGGGAGGCAGGAAATGCAGGTTCCTGCACTTTTGAAATAGGGTTAATTGGCAGATTGGAGGAATTTCCTAGGGAGATGYTTTCAAATGCTGTTCAGAACTCAGGGGTCAGCACAGAGCCTGGTCACTGCCCCTCTCCAGCCACTCCTGACCTTTGGGCTGGTCCTTGGACAGAAAACACCACGGGAAGAATGAGCTGCTGTCCTGKTCTGCAGACAGCCCTGTCCAAGGGAGGTGCTTTGCCCAGCCTGCAGCTCTCTCTGCTGCTTTTTAGGCTTCCACTGCATCCAGGTCTGCATTTCATCTCTCTGGGCTCCTCACATTTTGGTTTAGGAAATTCATCCTGGAGAACTGTTAAAAAGAAGTGCAAAGCAGAGATTCTCCTARTTATCCATWTRTGTCATTTCAGTGCCATAGAAAGGRGAAGTGCTAGGAAGTATTTTACCTGCAGGCTGTCTCCTGAGCCTGCAATGCACAGGTTACCAAACACAAGGACTCCCTTATTCCTAAAACAGCCATTTCCTTCTCCAAGCSGTGCCTATCAGAGTGCACCAAAACTGATCCTGGTGCTGTTTCTCAGGAGCTGCTCACCTCAGGAGACCTCAGAGAAGCAGCCAGTGATGTGGGTGAAAGGCCAGAGTGGTGGATCAGATTTCCAGAAGGCCCCACAGCTTGCTCCTCTGAAGGTTCTCAGAACAGGATCGCTTTTCTCGGTGCCTCAGGACACAGCCCAGCTCTAAACCACTTGGGGAGAAATGTGTGCTTCCCTGTGTGCTGGAATTACTCATCTTTTAGTGYTGCTGGAACATCTGGGACAAAGCCAGGCTGCAGGAAAAGCACAGAGGAGATGACACTGCATAAACCAGGGCTTTTCCTGCCATGGGGTGCTGCTTTGGGATCCCTGCAGGCAGCTGAGGCTGGCCCATCCCATTTATCATGGGATCACAGAATGGTTTGGGCTGGGAGGGACCTTAAAGCCCATCCAGTCCCACCCCGTGCCATGGGCAGGGACACCTTCTGCTRTCCCAGGCTGCTCTAAACCCCATCCAGCCTGGCCTTGGGCACTGCCAGGGATCCAGGGGCACCACAGCTGCTCTGGGCACCCTGGGCCAGGGCCTCACCGCCCTCACAGGAAAGATTTTCTTCCTAATATCTAATCTAAATCTCTCCTCTTTTAGTTTAAACCCATTCCCTGCCTTTTCCTGTCAGCAGGCTTAGATTTGTTGTGACASAGTATTCCCTCTCCACTGTGAGGAGATTTGGTCTTCAGGGTTCTGCAAATTATAAAGTAAAATAATAATTGAAAGCCAGGATGCAGTCAGGTGCCAGTGAGTACAGCACTGCCATTGCTTTGGTTTCACACGGGAGGATTTGGCTGAGGGTGGATGCTCACAAGGTCAGGAGTGCCACAGCAGAGCCCGTTCTGGGTGCAGATCTTTCCCATTGGGGTGGTTTCTGTGTGTCCCCACCTCATCCCCGCTGCACAGGCTGGGCTTTGCCATGACCCCAAGCACAGGCAGGGCTCTCACTCTGTCCCTTCTCTCGCAGAGCAGCAGAGCAGCAGTGCCTGGAGCCATCCCCTACCGAAGGCCAAATCGGCCCCGGCCCAGCCCCGACCTCTCAGAAGAGCAAACCAGAAGAATCGCCAGGATTTTCTCTGCTCAGCTGACCAAGAAGGAGTAGTGGTGGCGAGAGTCCGGCCACAGCAGAGCTTCCTAAGCCATGGCCCCAKGTGCTGGCCAAGGCTGAGTCCTCCTGTGAGGGGCAGGTGGAAGCTGCAGCTTCCAGGCTCTGTTTTCAGTTTGCCTCATTGGTTTGTTCATTGAAATCCCTATTTAGCAGGGCTCAAAGCCTGTGGTCACCCAAAGGGAGCTGCATCTTGCAGGGGCAGGTCCCCAGGGAGATGCACCCCTATGGGTAACCCATGGCCTGGKACCTGCTCTCCAGGTAGTCCAGTYTTAGGATTTAATCCTGTGAAATGGCCCTTCCAAAAATATTTGTTGGGCAGCACAATTCTCTGTTTCTACAGSTGCCCAAAGKGCTTGTGTGAACACAGGCCAAGGGCACTGTGAAATCTGGTGGGTGTACAAAAGGGGGTGACTAGAAAKATGAGACTTTTCTATTTATATTTAAATTATTTTTGTACACCTTTCAGAGAACAGACTTTGATGCCAACAGAGCTCAGTTATTTTTGTACTGCTCTCTCCAGCGTTAGTTTCAATAAAATTCACYTGCTTTGTTGTCAGCCTGTGCAGTGTCCCTATGCCAGGGCAGGAACCTTTCCTCAACAGGGGACAGAGTCTCTCCCACAGAACTCCCAAGCCAGAGAAATGCTGCTGGAACTGGGGAGACCAGGAGCACACGGAAATGCCACTGCTTCACCAAAGAATTGAGTGTCACCGTGCAGGACAGCCCATGTGGGAGGAGCYGCTTCCATTCTGAGCTGCTTTTCCARSCACRCGTGCAATTCAGGATTTAAGCAGCCAAAGGATCWGCATCCCTTTTTTCTCCCTCTTGTGCAAGTGTTTTTCCCAGGGGACCCCCTGAATGCGTAAGTCACTTACCCTGTGATTGCGGCCCCGTTCCCTGTCCTTGCTGGGTCGGGATGGGAGCTAAAGGCACCCAGTGTTCCCTGGAAGGACAGGAGTGACGTGCAGGCTGCTTTCTCCTGCTGGCATCCCCCGAAAAGCTCAGGCAGGATGCCAGCTGGGCTGGGATCACCGTCACGGAGGATGTCACAGCACTGACCCCTGAGTTGTGTCTGGGCCATGAGGTAAACACTGTCCCTCCCTGTCCCTCCCTGTCCCTCCTGCCAGCCCCAGCCCCAGTGCCCTGCTCTCCACGGGTGTCACGGGTTCCAGGGTGGATTCCCCCGGCCCTGCTCCACGTGAGCGTGGGGAGCACGTTTCCCCAGGCACAGGCAGCTGTCCGGGATGGACTGCAGCCCCTGATCCGTGCCAGCCAGGGGATCTGACCTGCCCTGTGCCGAGCTCAGCGCTGCCTCTGAACCGCTCGCTTGGAAAGCCTTGGGGCGAGGGTTTTCTGTATCTCATCCTTCCCACAGTGGTTTTGGGGTGACAACCAAGATTCCTCCCCAGTCCAGTGCAGGAGGTCGGGGTAGGACCCCCCTCCTCATGCCTGAGCCCTGCAAGGGGGGCTGAAAGCTGTCATGTCACGGGTGCCAGGTGACCCAGTCCCATCAACTCAAATGCCACCGGGGGAACACTGTTTTCCTGTCACCCGATCCAATCCGTGGCCGCTGGAATGTCCTCCTGGGTGCTATATAAGGGTGGGGCCAGGGACACGGCTCTCAAGGCACTGCCTGTGCAGGGCAAGAGCCGGGACACTGTGCCGAGGTCCCTACGGTGAGGGCATGGAGGGACAGGGCATGGAGGAACAGGGCATGGAGGGACAGGGCTCCAGGCAGGTCCCTCTGGGGAGATGATCTCACCCAGCAACCCCTGTTATAGCTGGGGTGGGATAAGGAAGAGTGGGCACTGGTGAATGCCGTGCTGAGCAAGCCCTGTGCCTCAGTTTCCCCGGGACAGAAGTGAGTAGACAGGGCAGGATATGGCTTTTGGGGTTGCCCAAAGCTTTCAAGAGCCACCGTGGCACATGGTCGCCTCCAGCGCCGAACAGGACACGCACGTGAAGCCACGGCCTGATGCGCCCTCCCGGCTCCCTACAAACCCCTCCTCTCCTTCCAGCCCCTTCCAGCCGTCATGGTGGGTCTGAAGCCCCCCGAGGTGCCCCCGACGGCCGCGGTCAAGTTCGTCAGCGCGGGGATGGCCGGCTGCATCGCGGACCTGTGCACCTTCCCCCTGGACACGGCCAAAGTGCGGCTGCAGGTAGGGCCGGACCCTGTGATGGGAGGGGGATCCCACCCAGCTCTGCTGCGGGGCTGGGGGCTCCGGGGCCGAGCACAACGTGGGGTGACACAGCGGCACCGCGCAGATCCAGGGAGAGGCGAGGGTCCCGCGGCCCGTCAGCTCCGTGCGGTACCGGGGTGTTTTGGGGACGCTGAGCACCATGGTGAGGACGGAGGGAGCCCGCAGCCTGTACAGCGGGCTGGCGGCCGGGCTGCAGCGCCAGATGAGCTTCGCCTCCATCCGCATCGGCCTCTACGACTCGGTGAAGCAGCTCTACACCCCCAAGGGGGCTGAGAGTGAGTGTCCAGGCAGCCCGGACATCCCTGCGCGCCCCTTCCTAGGCTGAGATACTCACCCTGGGGGCGAGAGACTCACCCTGGGGCCAAGAGCCCCGCGATGAGGCTGTGACACAGCGCGGGGTCCCTGCAGGGCGGGGATCCTGCAGCAGTCCCGATCCCTGCCCTCTCCAGACACAGGCATGGCCGCACGGCTCCTGGCCGGCTGCACCACGGGCGCGGTKGCCGTGGCCTGTGCCCAGCCCACCGACGTGGTCAAGGTCCGCTTCCAGGCCAGCGGGGCGCTGCCGGACAGTGCCCGCCGCTACAGCGGCACCGTGGATGCCTATCGGACCATCGCCAGGGAGGAGGGCATCCGCGGGCTCTGGAGAGGTACGAGCGAGCGGGGCTGAGCACGGGAAAGGGACGGAGTGGGAACAGAAATGGAAATGGGGATGAGGAAGGGAAGAGAGGCGGGATGGGGACAAGGATGGGGACAGCAGGGCCCAGGGTGCTCCGGGAAGAGCCGTGACCAGCATTCCCAACGCCACCACCCTCCTGCCCAGGGACGCTGCCCAACATCGCCCGCAATGCCATCATCAACTGCGGGGARCTCGTCACCTACGACCTCCTCAAGGACGCGCTGCTGCGGACACGGCTCATGACGGGTGAGGACGGCGCGGGGCGGACGTGGCGGGTGCCATCCCTGTCCCCCAATGTCCAACCCCCGGCTCTTCCCCCTTCAGACAATGTCCCGTGTCACTTCGTGGCCGCTTTCGGCGCSGGGTTCTGCGCCACGCTGGTGGCGTCGCCCGTGGACGTGGTGAAGACGCGGTACATGAACGCGAGCCCCGGCGAGTACCGCAGCGCCCTGAGCTGTCTGCTGGCGCTGCTCACGCAGGACGGCCCCGCCGGCCTCTACAAGGGGTGAGTTGGGGACGCGCCACCGAGCGCCCGCAAAGGCCCCGCAATGCCCGCACCGAACCCCAAATTCCCGAAGCCGTTTGCGGGACGGGGCACGGGGCTGTCCCCGGCACTCAGCAGCGCTTTTCCCGGTACAGCTTCGTGCCGTCCTTCCTGCGGCTGGGCTCGTGGAACGTGGTGATGTTCGTGTCGTACGAGCAGCTGCAGCGCGCTGTGGCGCTGGCACGGCCGGCCCTGGCCTGAGCCCCCCGGCCCCTTCTGCCGGCCCAGCGAGGCTCAGCATCAATTAATTACATCAATTACATCAATTACATCAAGTACATTAATTGCCGAAGCACCGGCGGGCAGCGGAGCCACACGCTCGGGGAGGGACCGGACAGACGGAAGGAGAAAGGACGCTGTTCGAGGAGAAACGCGGGATAATGGAGGCTTTCTGAGAAGAGTTTTAAGGGACAGAGGAAAAAAAAATGTTTCTTGGCTTTCCATCCGGGAAGAGCAATGCTTCCCAAGGGCAGTGGTGTGGGCAGGTGGGACCAAACTGAGAGCCAGGGAATGCAGCGATTCCTGTTATTCCTTACTGGCGYTTCCAATAAACGGCCCCTATGGGGTCTGATCATAGCGTGGCTCAGAGTTTCTTTCCCTTTTGGGGGTGTTTGGGGTCATTGTCCCAGGTCTGCACATGACACCGGTCAAGCTGATATTCTCTGTCACTTTTGGTGCACTGAGTAATTTCCCGTTAATCTCTTATAATTCAGGTCTGTCACAATCACCAAGAGCAGCTCCACCTGCCCTGCCAAAGCAGCAGATCCCTGACCCACASCAATCAAACTAAAGCCTCAAACTAAATGGTCCCTTTTAGGACAGTAAAAATATACATCCTAAGCAGGAGAGGACACAGAATTCCCATTCCCTATTTATCAAGCTTGAGATAACTGGGACTGGCAGGAATAAGGTTTCCTCTGCCCTCACTCCATCTGTATCATCCTCGTTTGTCACAGACACTCAATTCTATTTCAAGGACTCCTATYAGAAAACGGATGACTGTTATCAGAAGCAATCCGCAGGGCGGTTTTTCCGCCCTGGAAGCAGCAGGACGGGCCAAGGGCAGCGGCTGCCGCAGGAGGAGGAGGCGCGGGCGGAACCCGCAGGGCGGGGCCCCGGGACAGGTGCGGCACCGGAGGCTGCGGTTCCGCCCGAGCGCACCCCGGAGCGCGGAACGCGGAGCGGCCGCCCTGCTCCTGCCGTGCCAGGGGCAGATGCGCTAGGAACGAGCTGTCCTGAGCCAAGGATGGGAAAAATCCCCTGGGCTCCGGCAGCGMCGCCGGGAACGAGCGAGCGGTGCCTGCAGGTGAGAGGGGCAGAGGAGAGGCTGCTCGGGGGTCTCCTGGGTCGGGTGGGATCCGCCGTGTGTCCTGTGAGCACTGACACTGGCACCCTGTAGCCACTGTGGGACGAGTTTGTCCGGGGCTCGAGGCTCTCTGGGATCATGGTTCATGGAATRAAGCTCGTGCCCGTGCCCAGCTGCGATGACAAGATTTTATGGGATGGGCTGTGCTCCTTTTTCYGGGAAGCAGAGGGATGGGGGTCCCTGTTGCACTCACATGGGGWGCAAAGAGAAGCTGCTCCTGCGGCTGTGGCCATGGGTCAGTGGGAACTGAACAGTTCTGATGGAAACCGATGGAAAAACAAATTTTGTTTGGTTTTGGACTTGACAAATTCCCCATGACYCCATGTGAGAGAAGGGGGAATAAGGGCCAAGACAATTCCTTAGCCCAAAAGGGACAAATTTATGTTTATTTCCTGCCYCACCTGGAATGATTTGGGTCACARGAAGCACCTGGGAGCCTCCTTTTGTGTCCTGGGTGAGGCTGTGGCTATRAAAGGGGTAAAGGATGGCKTGGGGAGAGGAGTAGTGACTGGGAACAGTGACACCTTAGGGATTTGTATCTGGAAATAGCCATCARTTTCCTGATGGGAGTCCTGGAAACAGAACTGAGAGTGTGAGAAATGAGAATATTGCAGCTGGAGTGCTGAGAATGGAGAGTCTGTAGTGAATGTTGTCTGCTGAGTCTCCTGATGTAATGCTGTGCTGTCACCAAGTCACCTCATTCTGATTTAAACCATCTTGAAATATGCTTGAATTACCAACTGGACTACAGAATGCACATGGGAAGCCTCATGTTCCCAAGGGAAGGCTTTAAGGATGTGCAGCTTCTGAACTGCACGAATAATTCAGGCTCCCACAGAAACCTGGGCCGTGGTTCYGGGGCAGGAAAGTGTCATCCTCAGTGCCACCTGAACAGCAATTTTCCTTGGAGCTCTCAGATCAGGATCGGTGGTGTAGCTGTGTGTTTTTCCCGCTCTCTGCACTCTGTCAGGGATGCCCTGGAGTGCTCTGGGTCATGGCAAGATGATCTGTGTGTAACAGCTTCCAAGGCCTGTCTGCACAGCTGGGTCAGTCCTGGGCATCCCATGGAATCCCTGAGGWTGGAAAAGCCCTTCGAGATGCTGAAATGCTCCCGAGACAAAGCTTCCCCAGCTGGAAGCAAAGTGGGTGTGGGGAGGGAAATCCAAGGGAGTGGTGGAAGGGCTTTCTCCCAGGTCTGGACACGCAGGCAGGGGTGATTTCTGAATGTTTGTYTGCAGCAGCAGCTCCCTTCCCGCACGAGAGCTGCCTCAGCTTGGAGCAGTGTGAGGACATCCAGCTCTTCCTTAGGCTTGAGGCACTGCAGGGTGCAGAGCTCCAGTTCAATCTTGTTTAAATGCCTCCAATGTAAAAATATATTAAAACAAAAATGATTGAGGAAATAACATACAAAAGTCTATTGCAAGCATAGGTACGAGCTGTCTTTATTTAAAGMTCCACATTTATGGACATTTGTCAAACCTCTCTCAGGGCAGTGTCCAGAAAGCTTTGTTAACCCCTTGTCTTGTCCTGTCCATTCTCAGGGGCTGTGTGGAGATTCCTCCGTGGAGCAGCATCACACCTCGGGGCTGAGCCACAGAGATTCAGTCCTTGGGCTGGTGAGTCACTATTTCTATTTAATAATTGTTTTTGCTGGCTTTGATGTCATGGCTGCAATGTTCCTTCAGACATCGTGCCCTGCTGCAGTGACAGCTCCTGTGCTGGTCAGGGAACCGTTCTGGGGAAGGGCTTTCAGTCTCACTCGTTTCCATTTAAATCAATCATTAGTTTTATTCCCATCCATCTCTCTGGTTTGCCACCCTCGKTCCCACGGACAGAGCTGTGTAAAGGTTCCATCCCATCGTACCAAGTCCTGCGTGGTGTTCCCAAAATCAAGAGCTGTTTTAGGAGCCTTGATCGCCCCGTGGGCTTCACAGAGGGTGCCAAACTCTGCTCTTAAGGATTCAGTGCTTATTTTGAACACCGATCCTACAGCTGGGTAGTTCAGCTAACAGGGATTAGAGTCAGTTCTTGCACCCAGCACAGGTTTTGTCCTACAAAGACCACCCAAACTTGCTGAGATAACACACAGGTGATGCACTGGCACTTTGGGGTTAATGGTAAATGTGGCCAGGTAATTCTTGTGAGGTTGAACTGATCTCAACTGATGGCTGAGAGCTGCATCTCCCCTGCTGCTGGCACAGGAGGTAGAGCTGGGACAGGACAGCTCCTCCATTCCTTGGGCCCCCAAAATCCCGTTTATTCTACCCTGAGCTGCTGCAGGCATTGATTCTGTAAGTTAYAGATAAAAATTCTGCCTGCCTGTGAATCTTACAGGAAAGCTGGACTGGAATGTCCCAGGAAAAGGTGGCACCTGGAGGGTTTTTGGGGGGCCCCAGGACATGAGCAGGGACGGTGTTGTGTGTTGCACTGAAGATGCTGTGGCACAGGTCCTGGTCCTTCATGGGGGAGGT